AATTGTGTCTATAAAACCGGTACTCGACGAGTTAATAACATACATGCATATCATGTAGCAGTAGTAATAAAATGCGCTAATTTCTGAAAATATGAGTCCAATTAGAAAAAGTATTTGGCCTAGCCTAATGCTGTATTATAATATTCTGTACTACGGTTGACGATTTCTATCCTCATAATGTTCCGAGATCAAACTATAGGACAAATAAGAAAATTCAACAGCCGGAATAAATAAGCGATCGTAATCTCAAAGTTTTTGGATTGAGATCGATTTTTAATAATAGTTGTGTGCAGTTACTGTTTTTAGTCTACAATCCAGATATTTGAAGCTCCTCGATTACAATTTAGGTATAATAATTGGGTACCTACTTTCGTCATTCAAAAATAAATGATTTAAGCTGTTCAATACAATAAAATATTAAAGATAATCACATTTTCATTAATTGGTTTTATGACCATTGAATCATTTTAGTACTTTTCCAGCAAATTAAAAAAATTAGTACGATGTTTGACGCAAATAAACATGACGTCACAGTTCACAATCTCCTACAAAATTCATAGAAGGAAACTGTGGTCTTTCACAGTTCGAAAAAAGTAGACTATATTAGACGGTATTTGCCAACTAGCAAACTAGTTGGCAAATACCGTATTGCATGATTGTATGCCTCGATTGATGGAACATGGTGAACTGCGCATTCATGTAACATCTTGTAATGCATCTAAATGTACTGTGTTCAGCCATAAAGGTATTTCAATTGAGAACTGTTATTGATTTCGGCCGAAGCAGATGAAAGGCAGACCCTTCATTCGTGCAGTTTCAAGGTTTCTTTACTTGATGCGTCATATTGTTGTCGGAAGTAATAATTGTTGATATTTTTATTACAATAAATAAAAATGTTTAACTATCATGTAGCTACTTATATGGATAAGTATAATTATACTGGTCACCGTGGGTCGTCGTCAAATTAAACAAACTAAATGTCAAAGGACTATTTTTCGCAGTTTTACGATCGTCCTTTATTTTATTGTGTGTGTTGGTGGATATTAAATATATCGTCTACAAATACACAGTTTTGATAGAATGTTGTTTAAATGCGTTTTGTATATGAGTTTTAACTACAAATATTTCAGAATCACACATCAGAATATCACACAAATCGTTAGACCCGTTTCCCAGTGAGAGCGAAATCAATTTTTAAACAAATTAAAAAAAACACGCCTTAAAATTTGTATGTAGGTGCGGAGATCGCAGCCGCAATTATACATGTAAGGGATTCTGAGTCGAATAGTCCAAAGAAGAAGGGTTGGTTTGCTATGAAGTCGTTTCCGAGCTTCGGGTCCAAGCCGGTGACTGGAGTGTCGAGCGGGCCGAGTATTTCTGGCGGAGGCGGCGGTAACAGGCCTCTGTTGTCTAAGGTCAGGGCTGTGCGCTGCACGTAACTTCTCGGCAGAGCTGACGGACTCGATATGTTCCTGTTTCACGATAAATAATTGTTAATGCAAGTTGAAATTAGGTCTCTTTGTTATAGACACCCTTCTAATAGCGATTTTCAGTTCTATTTATAGAGCCTATATATGTTTTGGACGCGCGCAAGAACTTGTAGTGATTGTTGGCAAAGTAGGTATATTATTTTGATAGGCCTAAGGAGATTTATCGGTATCTTTTGGCTTCGTTACAGACCGATAGGGTTTTGGAAATAGATTCAATAATATTATTAAACTGTTAAACCGCCAATCTTTACAAGAAAAAAATATCCAAAGATAGTAAATTAAATAAAAACGATTGAGTATAGCTACCTCGTTGCCACAGGATCGTTCCATAAACTTGTGATTCCCAATTCTTCAAGCATCGACCTCACGTCCACCTCACTGGTGATCAAAACGCGAGGTATAGCCACCTCTACCGGCACGTAGCTAGTCTTGAACGAATCAAAAACTTCGAATGCAACACTTGTGTCCAATATATTCAGCTTCTGGTTCACATCATTCGTTTCCAGGAATATTACAAACACCATCTTAAATCTCTCATCCTGACCAACCGGTAACTCTAGCGCCTTCGCATTCACGCTCTTGATGTGCCCCAACCTAGCACGCTTCTTCATCCTCATTAAATCCACGAATCCTACGAGTTCTCCAACTTGGTTGAAGAACGGAGATCGATCGATCTTCGCATGTTCGAATTCTGTTGTCCAAAGAGCATTATAGTCGATTGTGTCAAGAAGAATTGAATTTCCTGTTAAGTCGAGTCTTGAATTATGAATATTCGTCAACTGCTTCACCTCAATGGTAGTTAAGATAGGATTACTTCGTAAAGGAGCGCTGAGTACTTCAAGGAGGTTGTTCTTCAACACTAGATCGTACCAGGTGGGGTTGAGCGTGACGCCAGAGTCGATCAGTAGAATACGATTGTTAATAATATTGACGTCATCAGACTGGACGATGCGAGAAGTAGCCCGCCGGTAGTATTTCTGTCGGCTGCAGGCGTCCGTGGAGAGTTTTAAAAAGTTGAACAGCTGTTGCTGAGTGTGATAGTCAGCTCCCTCGGCCAATCCAGCTAATGTAAGCCATATCGAGAGAGGAGAATACACGTAGTTGAGATCACTGCGTCTGGCGAGTGCCTGGTACGTTATAAGACTGATATTGTACAAGTCCGCCCGAAATTTCCGCGACACATCTTCGTACAAGTTACATGGCTCGGAGATATGAGTGCCGTCCAAGTTGAAGCTGTGAGGTTCCGGACTGCACGCCGCAAGTGTCGCAGCAAGCGAGGTTAACAGTATAATATGCATGTTCCAAACACGTCTGGTTCTTAATATGAAGGAAAAGGTACTAAGGGGTATTTGAATATTTATGTTTTTATACTGAGCGACAAGTGATCGCAATTTAAACAAAAAAATAAATGTAGTATACATACGTATGTCGAAGGATTTATATAAATAAGTTGTCCTTTTTGATGCACTTAAAATCGTTAAAGAGAAGTCTCATGTGTTCAATGAATTAATCAGGTTTTGTCGTTTAATTCTTCATTAAATATTTAACATACATTAATCATATCGGGTTATCGGTAGCTTACGTGCGAGTATAGGTAGTACCAAAATCAATATAACAGGAAAAACGCATGTCATACAAATTGCTTAAACCGATGTAGGGTTTTAATAAAAAATACAAGGGCTATCCCTTGTATTTTTTGCGCAAGGACCTCTTTCAGATAAGAAATTAACTTTTGATCGTTTGCAACAAAAAGCACCGCACAGCTGATGCCTAAATGATTACGAATAAAATATATTTGAGAGAGAATGTCCCAAACCGCATGTTTTCCAAAATTGTACAACAAATAAAATACAAGTCACTTATGTTATGACCGTCGGTGATGACGTAAATATAATCGATATAGTTTCGTGTCCTATAAGCGAGTCGACGGTACGGCTATCGATCATGGAGTCTCAGGTTTTAATACAAATTAACAATGAGCTTCAAGTAGAACAGTGAAAAGAATATTTAGGTTAGTAGGTAAACTTTTACAGATTTTTAATGTTAAACATTCTGTTGGTTGATCACAATTAAAAGGAGTATTCAGGTAAGTAAGAGTGCATAAAAACGCTACACCTCTTTGTGATAACTACGTAAAACAAGGGTGTTTTAAACGACTGTAGTCATCCGTTAAAAACAGTGAGCGTGAAGTAGGTAATATAGTGAGTCTTTAATGATAATTAGCATAACCGACATAACCTGTTGTAACGTTGTACCTTGTTGCCCTAAAAATAGCTTCGAAACCATATAAATTATAAATAATTACAATAGATTATTCTAAAACTATTATTAAAATACACTAAATAAACAAATAGAAACACATCTTACTACTTACTAATTTAAAACGCATCAAAATAATTAATTTTATATAAAAACATTACGGAACCCAATATTAATTGTTTACGCAAAGGTCCTCGCTTCTATTGCGCCTACGCATCTCTAAACGAGTTAATAACTAGTCGTGTCGGCTCGTCTCGGGCGCATTCGTAAAATCCAACGAACAGTCAACTTAAAGGCATCAGAGGTGACGGCTGTGTCACTCGATCGCGGACGACCTACGTTGCAAGATCGTACTTACCTACCTAATTAAATCTACCTTAAATCAATTATATAAATTGTAATCGGAATCCCGCTGGGGTAAGTTTCCATGTATTGCTTAAGTGTTGCTATTGTAAGGTGTTTCTTCTTCTTAATTTCTCGCTAGCAGCGGCTATTCCTTTTTTTCTTTGTCTGCTGGGACACTGTGACCTTTGGACCCGGCTACGTGGTCCGAGCTCTGCTAACGCTTGCCTTGTATCTGCGCTTCCAGGATTCATGTTCTACGATTAACCTCGCATCGCAGCCATCTACCTGGCGGATTTATATTCTACTATTAACCTCGCATCGCAGCCATCTACCTGGCGGCGAGTGGAAGACCAGACCTCCTTCTACCTGGGAACTACCTAGGCCCTGCTGAAGACCCGGAAGGCATTTGGAACGAGACCGGACCGCCTGCAGAGCTACTCCACGGTTCAGGCCAGTGTTCTCAGCGTACCTATTACCCCGAACCTGGACGTGATTGGGGCAACAGATATTTGGCAATAATAGAGTGAACTACTTCTAAAAAAAAAAAAAGTGTACTTTATTTGGACCCCTACCTACCTACCTGCCGGCCACCTGACTCCTACAGGAGCCAAGTCGCCGCACTGTACCAATAACAAATCAAATGCGGTTCGTCAGTCTCCCTACAACTCCAAAACGGCAGGACTGTTTTCGCTCATTTTGGTTTAAAACTATTTATAGACGATTGGAGGCATCATAGGGATAATATAATATCACACCTTTAATCTCCGAATGGCATAGGCAGAGGTGTGTTAATCATACACTCACTTTTCATCTCATCACCTCGGTCAGTTATAAGTTCTTATTAAAATAAAATCCTCACAAGTACGTTTGGATACTAGGCATTGTAAAATAAAAGAATATTACATTGGTTGTTGTCGTTTATTCTAACCGCTTATGTATAAGTGGGAGAAGTGTATGCGGCCGCCATGATGCAAGTGTATGTTTCAGTATCGAAGAGACTAAATAAGAAGGGACGGTCGGCAATGAAATCTCTTCCAAGGGCCAAGTTGAGACCAGTTGGGGCGTTATAAATGTCCGGCTCTTGTGGAGGAGCATATAATCCTGTACTGTTGAGCACCAAGGTGGCACGCTGCAGGAAACTGCTCGGGAAGGCTGGGGGATCCGATATGTACCTGCAGGAAATATACATTGAGTTGATCGAGTGTGTCGAGTGATCGATCATATGTGTGGGTGACGAAAAAGGCCAAGTTTCATCTGATTTCCGTATGAAGACCTTTCAATTTTCAAAATTCTCAGCTTAAGGCACGCGTACAAAAAATTATTGCAATAAACAAAATCACTCATTAGCTTCCACGGCAACACTATAATTGCAAACTTACCTAGTGGCAGCCGGATCAGTAAATATCTCAGTGATGCCCAGGTCCTTTAATATCACCTTGACGTCGATCTCACTGGAGATCACCATGCGCGGTATCGCCACATCTATAGGCACTGCACTCTCCCGCAGACTGTCAATCACCTGAAATATCGTCTCACTAGTCACCGCAGCCACCACTGGTTTGATATCTGCATTTCCAATAACAACACCGAAAACCATTCTGTACCGTTCATCTGAGCCGACTGGTAGTTCCAAAACCTTCCCGTTTACTGCCTTGATGTACCCCATACGGGCACGTCTCCTTACTCTCATCATATCCACACTTCCCAATACTTCCCCTTGAGGGTTGTAGAACGGTGCTCGTTCAATGACAGCGTCTGCGAATGCTGTAGTCCAGAGTCCATTATAGTCTATCGTGTCCAGAAGGACTGAGTTTCCACTCAGATTAAGTGTTGGAAGACGCGCAGACATTATCCTTTTGATCTCGTTAGCTGTGGCCACGCTATTGTACTTGATTGGAGCAGTGACCACATCGAGGAGAGAATTCTTCACAACAATATCATGCCATGTTGAATTGAGGGTTGTGCCTTCGTTGATTAATAAGATGCGATTGTTTCTAATGTTCACTTCGTTAGATGGGAGTGCGCGGGAGGTCGCTATCTGGTAGAACGCGTATCGTAAGCACGGGTCCTGGGGTGGTAGATGCAGGAGTTGGAACAGTTTCTGTTGAGTCAAAGGGTCAGCACCTTCTGCTATTGCAGCGATCATTGTCCATATTGAAATAGGAGAGTATACAAAGTTGAAATTACTTCTCACTGCGATGGGTCTTAATGAGAAGAGGCAGAATTCGTAAATAGCTGACCGGTACTCGCGGATGTAGTCTTTGTTCACATTACACAGTCCTGGGTCACTCGTGTATTGTATGGAGGAGCTGGACACTACGGGCAGGTATTGTTGCCCTGATATGAGGACACTACTGGCCACTAGACACAATATTATTAATGTCTGCATTGTTGCACGTTTAAATGTAGTCTCTCAATATTTTGTACTAATTTCCATTGTAATTCCAGTTCTTTATATAGGTCAAAGAGCATTATATTTTTGATGTAAAAAATGTGTCATAAATAGCATGCGAACTGACCTGTTATTCTGGTCATAATATGTTAATAGAAAAAGTTGCGTTCTACCTAAATATATAATAATCAAAGTTTTCATAAACATTAATAACATAACGTTACGTTTACGTAAGTAGGGGATATTTATGTGCTCCACATCTATTAATTGTAAACATTTAAACACCCACTTACCAGTTATTTATGTCCCATCTAATAGGAGATTTTTTTGTGCGGTCAAAGGCAATAAAAAGTCATTCTTATAAGATAAGCTAACTTTAGTCTCTTATGGTTAGAAACTAAATTCCTTGTTGCAGTGACGTAACTACAGGGTGGCAAACCGGCGAAATGCCACGGGCCCACAGCTGGGAAAGGCCCCCGTTCAGAGGTTTTCACCTGAACTTCTCTGTTTTTTATTGGGAACGAGGGCCCATTCGATGAAGTTGCCACGGGCCCCGACGGGTATAGTTACGCCACTGCCTTCCTGGCACCTAACTATGACCTAACCGTCGATTTTCTTAGCCAACGTAAAATAAAATAAGTTCTAGGTTGGATGTCGTCATTTATTCTAACCACTTATAAAGAGGGCGAAGTGTATGCGGCCGCCATGATACATGTATAGGTTTCAGCATCGAATAGACCGAATAGGAAGGGACGGTCGGCAATGAAATCCCTTCCGACGACCAACTCGAGACCTGTCGGGGCGTTATAGATTTCCGGCTCTTGTGGAGGAGCATATAATCCTGTATTGTTGAGCACCAGGGTGACACGCTGCAGGAAACTGCTCGGGAAGGCCGGGGGATCCGATATGTACCTGCAGGAAATGTATAAAATTCTTATACTTCTATGTTTCGAAATAAAATCGAATATAATGTATTATTGATGTATAGATTTGGCAATCGATACTCTGAATTGTAACTTCATTTTGTGAAGTCTAGTTGACTGCCTCGCTGATGGAGTACCATCACATGTGTTTGTGACAGATAAGGCCAGTTTCAAATCCGATTTCCAAATAAATTATGAGCTTTATAAATTCTCAGGTTAGGCTACTTCTACAAAGTATTGCTACAAGACATAGCAGAATCCCATTAGCCTCAGAAGTAATATTACGATGGTAAACTCACCTAGTGGTGGAGGGATCGGTAAATATATCTGTGACTCCTATATCTTCCAGTATCACCCTGACGTCGACCTCGCTCGAAATCACCATGCGTGGTATTGCTACATCTATAGGCACTGCACTCTCCCGCAGACTGTCAATCATCTCAAACACCGTTGCGCTGGTCACCGCAGCCACTACTGGTTTGATGTCGGCATTTCCAATAATAACACTGAACAACATTCTGTAACGTTCATCTGCACCAACTGGCAGTTCCAATATTTTTGCATGTATTGACTTGATGTACCCCATGCGGGCACGTCTCCTTACTCTCATCATATCCACACTCCCCAATACTTCCCCTCGGTGGCTGTAGAACGGTGCTCGTTCTATGACAGCGTCTGCGAATGCTGTAGTCCAGAGTCCATTGTAATCTATTGTGTCCAGAAGGACTGAGTTTCCACTCAGATTAAGTGTTGGAAGACGCGCAGACATTATCCTTTTGATCTCGTTAGCTGTGGCCACGCTATTGTACTTGATTGGAGCAGTGACCACATCGAGGAGAGAATTCTTCACAACAATATCATGCCATGTTGAATTGAGGGTTGTGCCTTCGTTGATTAATAAGATGCGATTGTTTCTAATATTCACTTCGTTAGATGGGAGTGCGCGGGAGGTCGCTATCTGGTAGAACGCGTATCGTAAGCACGGGTCCTGGGGTGGTAGATGTAGGAGTTGGAACAGTTTCTGTTGAGTTAAAGGATCAGCACCTTCTGCTATAGCGGCAACCATCATCCATATTGAAATGGGAGAGTATACAAAATTGAAATTGCTTCTCACTGCGACGGGTCTGTATGAGAAGAGGCAGAAGTCGTAAGTAGCTGACCGGTACTCGCGGATGTAGTCTTTGTTCACATTGCACAGTCCTGGGTCACTCGTGTATTGTATGGAGGAGCTGGACACTATGGGCAGGTATTGTTGCCCTGATATGAGGACACTGCAGGCCACTAGACACAATATTATTATCGTCTGCATTGTTGCACGTTTAGATCTAGTCTCTCGATGTTTAGTACTAACTTCTATTGTGTTTCCAGATCTTTATATAGATCATAAAGCAATTATATGTAGGACATAAAAAATGTATTAAAATTGTATGAGACCTGCCCTGTCATTTTGGTCATATTTTGTTTATAAACAAAATTGCACTTTTATTGCTTAATAGATAATTAAGTTTTAGTATAATGTTACTTGCTATACACCACTACTGCATATGTATGCCTTGTCTGCCTTGATAATTTAATGTTTTTTGTAAACAACTGATATTATCAGACGTGTAATATTTTTGCAACTGTGACTAATGTGAATTGATTATGTATATAGTTGGTACCTATTTAGAGAAAAACATAATTTGCATAGAAATGTTCCTGAACAGACAAGCATCGAGCAAATCAAAATGTTAGTTGCACGTAACAGTGGTCAAGCCAAGGTTGTTTAAACAAGAACCAGACTTAAATTGATAACAAAATAAAAATTACAAAAATATAGATAATCTGTATTATTACATATTCATGCGATTCATATCTACTGCTAATTATTTTAATAAAATCATTGCGTTTGAAAAACTGTCGGACCGAAAGACCTAGTTCATTTAAATAATAAAACAGATTTAATGTTTGAAATCTACATAGTTGAACCTACATTTACACGGTATCTCTAATATCTGCCGAAGCGCGAAAACTTTATCAAAATAATAAATTCTTTTAAAACCAGATCGCACACGACCTTTTTTATTTTTCGACATCACCTGTATGTAATTTGAAACAAGATACGGAACAACATAAAAAATTAAAAAAATAATCAAAGAAACCAAATATTCTCGTTTAATGCAGTTTTACAAAGAAACTAGTTTCTTGAGATACAGCTAGTTAAGGAATATAGTAACAAAGACACGGTTTATATAAAATCAGGGTAAGTTGGTTGTGAATACATATTAGACATAAGGCAGGTATAAGTCTCTGTATCAAATAGGCCAAACATGAAGGGTCGGTCAGCTATGAACTCATTCCAGAAGGATTCTTCAGGAGTCTTGGGGTACCCGGAAGACCGAAGTCCGGGGACTAGAGGGGGATTCACTCCATGTTTGTTAAGAGTTAGTGTAGCTCGCTGCACGTAACTGCTGGGCAAGGCCGGTGGGGTCGAAATGTACCTGTTGTAAAAATATTCGGTGTTGTTAGTACCGTCCTTTGTTTACGAAAAAGAGTTTAGAAGTATTTGTATTTGGATAATTTATTTCAGAAATATTGCAAAAACTGTTTTAGTGTTATTCCATCTGAGGATGGGATTAAGTGCTGATCACTTAAATTAAGTAGTCATTTTAATCCCGGCTAACTTCTTTATTGAAATTGGCGTCGCTCCAAAAATTTATCGAAAATCGTCTACTAATTGCTGCTTTACACTTGAACGCCATCCAAAAACTGTTACGAACTATTACACTGTTTTACAAAACTCCCGAAGCATTATAAATTCGCTTATTTGATGAAGGACCATCTCGAAAGGTCCGGCCTAAACCGTTTCAATACGAAATTAATGTAATTGCCTTCGGGGCCGACCGAATTAAGACCACAAATTGTTTTGGAGGTCATTGGATTTGCTTAAATGAAACAGGGAACTAAATTTACAACAAGATATTATACCTGGTGGCATCTGGATCTGTCCATAGACTTGTGATTCCTAGATCTTCTAGGATGACCTTCACATCTACCTCTGAGTTCAATGTGAACTGCGGCAGGGCAATGTCTATCGGTACGTAGCTGTCTCTCAAAGAAGTTAACACATCTGTGACGATAGAACTTTTGAATTCTCTGATAACAGGACGAACATCTGAATTTCCAACGACGAGAGCAATCACCATACTGTACTGACTGTTTGTTCCTATAGGCAACTCTAAGATCTTTGCCGATATTGAAGGCACGTAACCTATCTTACAGCGCCGCTTCACCGTCATCATATCAACAGTACCAATACGTTGTCCCGATATACTATGGAACGGTGCACGCTGGACCACTGCGTCAGCAAACGCTGTATTCCAAAGTCCATTGTAATCCATAGTGTCAATAAGAACTGAATTGCCTTGTAAGTTGAGAGGTACATAGTTAGCATACACAGCTTGTCTGATGCTGCTCGCTGCGGCGACCGGATTGTGTCGTATGGGCGCCGACACCACTTCGATCAGTGAATTTTTTGTTACAAAGTTGTGCCACGCCGGATTAGGAGTGACACCGTGATCGATTACGAGTGCTCGGTTGCTGACTACTATGGCATCCGATGAGTAAGAAAATCGGCTCGCTGCAAGTTGGTAGTATTTTTGACGTATACACGCATCGTTAGGAAGTAGTAAAAGTTGAAACAATTGCTGTTGAGTCTCGTGGTTGGCTCCTTCAGCGATGGCGGCTACCGTCATCCATAGGGAGTGGGGTGACACCACGAACTGGTAGGTCCCTCGCGGCGCCACTCGCTTGTAAGTTTCGATGGTGAAGTTGTGCATAGCGTTACGGTAGCCATCGACCACATCTGGGTAGTTAGAGCACGCTCCTAAGTCTGTACGGAGCGTATCTAAGGACCCGTACAAGCTCACTACATCTCGCTTCGAAGCCGAACATGTTAGTATAAAAAATCCCAAAATAATTGCTATCATTGTAGCAACGCACCCGAATAGCAGATCAAAACGAACTGACATTGATGTGTATGCTTGGTTCTTATATAGGTACTTGATACCATTTATGTTATGTTGTACATATTTAAGACGGAAAGATGAGACAGGTAAATGATTTTGATTTATTAGAACTAAAAACAATTTTGCAATGTCAGTCATTGATATTGGTTGTTTACCTACGTTTATGAGGGAAACTAAAAAATGTCTTTAGTATGAGAACATTAAACGTGGGCATTGGAACCTGTTGCATCTCAAGCAACTGGCTGCTGAAGGTCGATGTGATACCGGAATCATAATTTTAATTTAAATGTTACAGATTAATTTAGTTTTTATTAATGCTGGATATCATTCGTCACACCTGCATGCACTGGTAAGTGACCGAGCTGTTGGCCACATAAATATGTAATCTATATTAATATGATTAAGTTGAAGATTGCGGTGAACTCTGATACTACATGCTCGAGTTATTTCTAATTTATTTAGAGTTTATGACATGGATAGATATGCCTGGGTGTCCCTGCTTAATAACCTGATTAGGTACAAACGTAATGTGACATAAATCCTCGACCTTATTTTGGAATTACTAACATTGAACTTATTACCAAGATACAGAATCAAAAGAAAAAATGGAGCCTAGACATCAAGGACCTAAGCACTTGTCCCATTAGCATAAAATCACACATTCTTCTTGAGAAAGTCTATAAAACAAGAAAGAAGGCGGAGCAGAGACATCTGCTGGATTTAAACGTAAACGAAGGCGGGTCGGGTCGGGTAATTCAGGTCATTAGACCGACCTAACTGAGACGTATCCGCCCTCACTTGAGTTACCCACCAAATGTTACTAAGTACTTCAGCTTTTTGTTACAAAACCCAACTTTACGCACAAAAGAAAACATTTCGAGAAAGACTTGAATTCGCACGCGACAGAAGATGCTAAGCACGTTTGTAATGCCTATAGACTACTACTTACTTCTTTAGTGCGTAGGACACAAAGTCGTAAGTTATTTTAGCCTAGTACACCGAAGAGTTTTTGTACGTGTGACTACATCTCTTTAATTAAGTAATTAACTCTAATATTTGTAGGTACAACAATGTACAACAATCAATTAATTATTCAAATTTTGACGATCAAAAATATCAGTCACTATCGAGTTTTTACCGACTTCAAAAAAAGGAGGAGGTACTATGTTCGGCTGATTGTTTTTTTTTTTTTTTTTTTTTTTTTTTTTTGTTTGTTCGCGCAGTACTCCGCTGTTTGTGGACCGATTTGGAAAATTTTTGTTTCGTTTGAAAGGGTATACTCCCGAGATGGTCCCATTTCCATGAAGTCAGGATCTGATGATGGGATCCTAGGGAAACCGAGGGGAACTTTCGAAAATTCTATAGGGGAGTAATGCGTCTATTATGTTTTTCAATTACGAATTTTAAACACTACAATTTAATAAGGGTCTGGAGTCGACCTGATGATGGAGCCGACAGACAGTCGAGGGAACTCCTCAGTGGTTTATATAAACTACCTTGTGTTTGGGCTTAATTAATTTGTATTGATGAGGACTTTACACCTAGATAGAGTGGGGCTGTCATTAAGGGTCTGATGATGAAGAAGTGTAATTGTTAAGGGAACTCCTCAACGGTATACAGTAACTACCTTGAGTTTGGGCTTGAATAATTTGTATTGATGAGGACTTTACACCTAGATAGAGTGGGGCTGTCATTAAGGGTCTGATGATGAAGAAGTGTAATTGTTAAGGGAACTCCTCAACGGTATACAGTAACTACCTTGAGTTTGGGCTTGATTAATTTGTATTGATGAGGACTTTGCACCTATGTATATTATAAGTAACAAAACGGGTATATGTAGCTTTACACTGAAAATGGTAAAATAATAAAATAAAAACTGCGTTTAAAAAACCGACTTCAAAAACCAAAAACTAATAACAAACAAAAAGTCAATACTAAAAAGCAAAAAATAACTATTATTAGTACTGATAGGTTACCCACCCACTGATAGGTTAGAAGTCGGTGCCATAAGCTCATAACATAATGATATAACTTAATGTCCACAAAATTGTGAATTAGATACCTATTAAGGTTTTAATGAATAATTTTGTATGGAACTTATGGCACGGACTTCTTACCTATCAGTGGGTGGGTAACCTATCAGTACTAATAATAGTTATTTTTTGCTTTTTAGTATTGACTTTTTGTTTGTTATTAGTTTTTGGTTTTTGAAGTCGGTTTTTTAAACGCAGTTTTTATTTTTTATTTTATACAAAAATCAACTAAAGGAATTTGTATTTTTTTAAAAGTATGCATTAACGTCTTAGAGAGGGCAAATTAGTGACATTTGGCGCATCGTCTATCAAGCAAGGAGTTGTACCTCTAAATTCTGTAGGTATTAAATATATTATTAATAAACAATTAAATAAAAATTAAATGAAAGTTGTTTTGGTCATACGAACACTACGTACCTACTAAAATATTTCCGTACAAAAAAACATGATATGACACTTGTAAATACAAAGGTACATACGATACACAAAAACATAAAAGATCACTTGAAATGCAGTAATTGTTTATTTATATCAAGTTACGTAAAGGTTACTCACTCAAAAAAGAAAACTACCTTAGTGTTCAATACATAACAATGCCTGTTTAACGTCTGACTATCTGTAAACATCAACAGATGCCACAATACTTATGGAGTTCTTTTAAAAATGGTATTTATATTTTTTCTACATGGTTGGCAATGCACTCATGGTGTCCTGGGTGTTGCTAAAATGTCGGTGACCCCTTATGATCTGGCAGACTGAAAACTTTTACTTCGTTGGTAAAAATACACATGCGAAACCGGGTGACATAATTAGTTTTTGTAAAATGAAACTAGTCCGGTACTTGTTTCTATTCTTATTGCTACCTAGTTTTGCCCGCGTTCTCAGGAGTAATAATTTGCTGGTATGTTACTCCAGTCTTCGTACGGACAGCCAAACCGAGGCAGTCCAGTACAACAGACTGCCTCGTTGGCCGAGTGTTCGCAAGTGCGACTGCCGGGCAATGTGTCTCGGGTTCGATTCCCGGGTCAGGTAAAGTACTACTGGGTTTTTATAAATTCCCAGTAGTAGCACGGAGTCTGGAATTGTGCCCGGTATATGGCAATAGGCTCACCCCCTATTACAACATAAACATCGGACTCGTAACATAAACAGTGAAAAGCAGGTGTTACTTTGTACAGTGGCATAATGTACACCTCTGCCTACCCCTTCGGGAATAAAAAAGGCGTGTTGTTATGTTATGTTACTACAGACCATAGTCTACCTCTGTACCAAATTTCATCCCGGTCTCTTCAGCCGTTTTGATGTTTTGATGTGACTGAGTAACAAACATACACACAAACTCACATATTTTCACATTTTTAATATCGGTTTAAGCTAATTTCAACCATCGGCCCTGCAGTTACATCGTAAAGTCAACTGCGGGAAACCTAATATTCAACAAACTTATATTTGCGTTTGGTACAATAACTATGTCTAGGGATTGAGCCGCATAATTAAGTTTGTTTCTTCGTGTATATCCTTTTTTGGGATAAAACGTAGCCAGTGTTGTGCCAGGATACTGAAGTATAATCCAAGTTTCATCGTAATCGGACCGGTGGTTTTTGTGTGATGCGTGAACATACAGACAGACAAAACTTAGGTATATAATTATGCAGATACATAGTATATACAATACTTATAAATGTCATGTTTTTCAAATTTTAATTTGCAAGAACGGTATTAGTTTTGGTCCTTTTGGACGAAAACGTTTTATTTGAAATCTTTTCAAGTTTCTGATGTTCGTAAAAAACTTGGGTAAGTACCTACCAATATTCGTATGATTAATTTTATTTGGATAAGTAAATGAAATGCCAGTAATTTCGTATAACTCATTACGCACATTCAATGTTTAGTGGCGTAAAAAAGGGTTGAAAAACCTTCAAATACCCTTTTAAGTTAAAACATCACAATTAAGGACTAAAAAATAAAAACAACTGAACAAGCAAATCAAAAATTTAATAGAATTCAAATCAATTAACACAAAAAAACAAAGGCCGGTTGTCTGTACCTACTGCAAACCAGCGCATAAAACTACACCGAACAGTCAAACATCTTCAACAAACTTTAGACTTTATAAACAAAACGATGAAGTTAATCTATTAAAGAAGTCCGAGTAGCTTGATATGCTGGTCTTAAAAACTGTATGTTGGTTGACTATAAAGGGCAGTCATAAGGCAGGTGTATGTTTCTGTATCAAAGACTGCATACAAAAATGGCTGATTTGCGATAAACTCCCTTCCTAATACTTCTTCCAGTCCCGTAGTTTGGTTATACGGAGCTTCCCTGAACAGCGGGGAAGGCATCACTCCTTGGTTGTCCAGAGTTATTGTGGAACGCTGCAAGAACCCACTCGGTAACGCCGCAGGACTCGAAATCTCCCTGTAGTAGAATTCATAGTTTAACCTCTATGCTATTGGTATAGGTGTATAGCAAAGGTGATAGAATGAGTTGAGTGATTTTATGTATGATGGTAATAAAAATGAATAAGCGATTTTAGATGGTACTTATAGATTAGACGAAACATTGATTAAAGATCGATGAAAATGATGACACTGTTAAGTTAGGAACAAAAAATTACCCGGTCACAGTTGGATCTGTCCAGAGGTTGTTGACTCCCAAGTTCTCCAGTATCTGCCTGACATTTATCTCAGAAGTCATCTTAAACCTCGGGATAGCGATGTCGATAGGTATGTAACTCTCCCGGGAATAACTCATATACTCTATAACGACAGTACTTCTAATCATTTGAATCTTGGCAGCTAAGTCATTGCTGTCGAGGATCAAAGCAAACAGCATGCGATACCTATTGTCTACACCAACTGGGAGATCCAACACTTTAGCATTAATACTAGCAAGGTAAGCCATTTTCGCAGGTCTCGTCACCTTCATCATATCAACAGAACCAATTTTTTGTCCCAAAAAGTCATAGAACGACGATCGCTGTATAATTGCGTCAGAAAACGCTGTCGACCACAATCCATTATAGTCCATCACGTCAACAAAAACCGAGTTGCCACTCAAGTCAAGATTCGACAAACTTGACACTGAGGAAAGATACCTAATTGCGTTAAGCGATCCCTCGGGATCGTAGCGAAATGGGACTGACACTACATCGATGAGATTGTTCTTCGAGACGAAGTCGTGCCAGTGTGGGTTTACAACGACGCTTTGATCCACGACCAAGGAACGCGTCGACACAATACTGACATCGTCCCCGGGGAGGTATCGACTTGTAGCTAATTGGTAGTACTTTAGACGAACGCAGGGGTCGTTCGGGAGCCTCAGGAGCCGGAACAGCTGTTGCTTTGTGTAAGGGTCCGCGCCCTCCGCCACCGCTGCTAGCATTATCCAAACGGACAGAGGGGAAAATATAAAATGGTACAAACTACGAGTAGCAACATCCTTGTACGTCTCGGTAGCGAACTCGTATATAGCAGTACGGTAATCAATGGTGACGTCACGATACAAAGGACAAGAAGAGCCAACATTGCGCGAATAGATCTCTTGAAATCCAATGGCGAATGCACTCGTCAATATAAATGGTATAAATAGTGCGACCGATTTCATAATGAAAGAACACGTCTGCGTAGTGTTTGGAATAATATTTTTCTACATTATGTGGCGCTACGGATTTACTTATATAGGTCATCGTCTGCCTTTGATGCTATAGCACGTTGCAAGGCAAAGGTAGCGGCACACAGGGCGTATTGTGCAGGCGACAGGTAAATCCGCTTAATGCGCTCAAGCTTTGCTGGACCATTTGTCGGAGATAAACGTTTTGCTCTTAGTGTGCCTGTTGAATGCACACGAGTTGTTTGTGAGCACTCCGGCCAAGTTTGGCGTTAGAATTGATTTTCTCGTAACGTACAGTGGAGCAGTTTAGGGGTTGTATGTGTGAGAGTTACAAAGGTTTACTAGTTCTGCTTGCTTCAGTAAAGTTTAATTCTAGTTTACATAGTTTACCCTGTGTGATAAGTAAATGTTAGATAAATGGAGATTAAAGTCTTTGACCTCTCATAAGAAAAAGGATTAACAAAACCAAACATTAGCTAATGCAGACAAAAAAAAACTATTTGTCAATTACTTGTTTGGTCTTCACATATGACGCTAGCAAGGTCACAGGTGTAAACTAGTCTTTACAATTACTCTCATTGTTTTTATCAAAAAATAAGTATTGCTCCACGCTAGGATCTTTTTGAACACCCTTTTCATTATCAAAGACTGTAGTCTGCCGAAGTTGAACACAATGAACAATGCATTCGCGAATCGTCATTACATACGAAAGTAATCGATCCATGCGACCTACCACTTCTCGCTCGAGGCTGACAATGCGATTGGCTTACACGTTACTCCCCTTTTCAGAAGCACAAAGGCTGCGTAAAATCGTAATTTCAAAGCAATCGTCGATTATTCGCTCTTCCTATTTCGACTTACGTCGTCAAGTGTCGTTGAATGCCAAAAAGCTTTGGGAGCGCTCAGACCGAATTACGTCAAACAATTAGATGATTGAGTGAGACGAGAGTCTAAGTTATGTTGAGTGGTGCTCGCTTACTTCACAACTTACTTAGGTAAGTGTTTGTTCTTCACGTAGCGTCCGTTTCTTTTAGAGGAAGAATTAATTAATTCTGATTAGTTAGAGCTACTGGATGTTACCGGTTAGCTTAGGGATATTTTATTCTAAGTGATGGGCTCGCTAGCAGTCATGTATTAGCCATGCAAAACAACGGTGTTTCTGATTAGTAACATAAAACTTATGTTGATTAAATTTCTGTATCGTATTAATGAACATTTCGTAAATAGTACACTATCATATATCGCTATAGTATATTGTGCGAGCGAGCAATGATTTCAATAAACTCTGTCAAGATTTTTCTTTCGACCCATTTAACATAAATCTTACTGTGGCGCGCAGGCAGCTGAACCTTGATTTCTTTAATTCATAGTAATTTGTGCATCATTATAGATTGCCTGTGGTTTAATAAGTTTAATAAGTAATTTTAGTACTGTGTTGGCATGTTTCTACTCTCTGATACTACTTAATCGTGGAAACCAGTAATTGGCTTTCTGTTGCATACCACATTCTATTTATTTAATCAAATTATATAGCTGTTGGTTTTCCAAATGTAAAAGTAAATAAATACGTAAATACAAAAATCATGATCATTATCCACAAAAACATCTATTGCTAAACATCAACCTTCCTCGATGACTTCAACATCAGCTGGCTTGAAGCGACTTACACCCCGCTGCTCTTTATGATCTTCATCAGGTCATCTATCAGAAGTAAAATGAATAAATACAGATTCTATTAGCAAGTTATACTATCCTCCTACGAGAACGGGATGACAGCCCACGCTTATTGCCATTACTGAAACAATTTATGAGAGTATCCTTGCGTGTATCTATTTTAGAATCATCTGTGCTAAAAATATACTTAACAATCAACATTTTTCTTCCAAAAATAACACAAAGTATGTACACCGTATTATAAATATATGTTTATCCTAATTTTCTGTATGGAGTATTATTTATTTTTCCCGTATGGAATTTAGCAGGTCTCGATTCTACTATAGACTACTAATTAGTTTTATACATCCCCGATGCAAAGGGACAAACAGTCCAAACGTTCCTTTTTCAAAAAGCCAGCAATCTATACAGATAAGTAAAACTGGAGTCTGTGTGTAATATTAAAACAACCGCTTTTTACTACATGCATATGAATATTCATACGGTACACATACTAAAATAACAAGTTTTTTTTTTAATTTTGGTCTGCCTGTCTGTTTGTACTGGCTAATCTCTGCAATGACTGGACCGATTTTGCAAGACTTTTGTCTGTTGGCAAGTATCTAATGTAAGTACCATACTAAGGAGTAACATAGGCTACTTTTGTTTTGGAATATTAAAACAAAAAAAGGTATGTTCTAAAGTTCATATGTTCTAAAGTTCATATGCCGCGTACTTCAGACGCGGCGGACTTCAGTGTTCCGGTGTTTTATGGTTGTATCTACTGTAGATCTTGGCTTACAGGAGTTGTAGCGGTTTCGGGAAGATGTAGCGGGCTAGTCCCATTAAAAAAAATTCTACGCGGACGGAGTCGCGGGCAACAGCTAGTATTTAAATATTTGCATTATTACAATAAAAAAATGTTTCCATAAATGTTTAGAAACGTTTAATAAGCTTAGTGATTATAATGAGCTCCTCAGAAGTAAATGTTGACGTCAAATGATGGCGATTTAATGCCAACATCGAGGAGGAAAATGTGAGTAATTTATAAAGCAAAGAAAATATAAAGCTCGCATGAAATTATTTACTGAATATTATAACAGACGCTCATTAATATCAACGTGTTTTATTCAGTTCTTTCTGACGTTTATTTATCCAAGAGTTTTTATTTATTCTTATTTATTAAATGTTATATCTAAGGAACGTTGTTAGGTATGTGTACTAGTCCATTGGTTATTTCTATAACAGCTGGAAATTAAAACCGATATCAATCCAAATTCTATGAATTAAGGGCCGATTTTACAACGCATGATAAATTTTACCAGAAGAATAACTTTGAATATTTCACAATTCTTCTATACCAAACAACTGTCACATCCCAAATGTATTCTATTGTTAAGAATTATCTGTTAATTGAAAAATTGGCCCTAACATTAGCTGTATGGAGATTCTTTCAAAAATAGGTAAACTTCGATTCTCATTATTTATTTATTTATTCGAAGGAGTACGGCCACATCACAAACATATAACATTCAAAATACACAATACCTCTAGTAACAAAATAAAGGTCTGATGCATGCGACAATAATGGCGTACATAGCACTGGCAATTCATAGATTCTCGGGGTTTTTGTGTAGCATTATGGCACGTGTGTTTATCTGCCAGCTTTGCCCTCCATTTATCTATTTTAATGATAACTACTATTCAGAAAAAAAAACTGACAATCAAGAAACTTCGACAAAACAATTTCAAAAATCAATTAAATATAAACCTTTATAAATTATTCAACTAAATATTAATAGCTCAATTACAAAACCACGTATTTTCTTAATAGGTCATATTTTTTCGAAAATGCACAAAAACGTCTGACATTCAGAAAGTCCTATTTGCACCCAATGCAATTAAAATCTAGGTAATAACAATACTTAAGTAGGTAATGAAACGTGTTTCATTTATTATTAATCTTTACAAAAATATTTGGTCATTGGCTAATTGACATTTTAATTGTAAAAACTTTGCTAAGCATGTCTAAATGGAATATAATAAACTAGCGGCCCGGTACGTGCTTCGCTACGTATAAAGTGAAATAAAATAAACAAATCGGAACATCAAATTCATTTATTTAATCAAAAAAATATTTTATTTAAAATCGAAATCAATTGCTAGCTATTTACAACACACTTAATCCAAAACATTTGGATAAACAATATTTTTTGTTTTTCCATTTTGAGCATAAATAAACAAACGGCTGGGGGTACCGACTCTGGAACAGGCAACATATAACTGGCCATGTGAAAAACAATGTTCCTCCAAATTCACACCACAAACGTGAAGTGTTTGACCTTGGGCCTTGTTGATGGACATCGCAAATGATAAACGCACAGGATATTGTAAACGTTTGAACTCAAAAGGCATATCAGTTGGAATCATAGGTATACGCGGTATCAAAACAACTTCTCCTTTTGATTTACCAGTTAAGATCGTAGCTTCAATCAAATTTGGCAATAACTTTTTCACTGCCAATCTGGTTCCGTTACACAGTTTTGGTGGATTAATATTTCGCAATAATATAATCGAAGAACCAACTTTCAGATTCAAGCAATGCGGTGGCATACCAGCCGGCTCCAATGAATTTAAAAATTCAATTGGATAATTCATTGCCTCATCTTGATTCATAACACTGTCAATTGATTTATATTTCGTGACTACGCCTGGCAGTTTCGCTTGAATTTGAAAATTAATTGCATTGACATGAATGTTTTTCGGTGCTAAAATGGCGCGTTCTGTCAACCAATCATGATTTCTGTAATTCTGAACAATATTCGGAAAAACACATTCAATCAATTCATCTATCGATTGCGCAATTGTACAAAAATTGTTCGGTACAGCGATCAATCCGTTGGTTCTGTCGATTTGTATTTTGCCGTCACCAATTTCTAACAATTGTTTTGAGAACTCATGGGCAGCTGGATCATTTTGTAGGTGAACACGCATATTAATGTTTAGTGTCAATTTTTGTAGATATCTCCAAAGAACTGATGACTTCAAGCAGGCATTTATTTCATCAGCAGGAGTTGATCGAGGAATGACAGGCAATGTTTGACGAAAATCCCCTGAAAGTAATATCAAAGCACCACCAAAAAGCTGTTGATTACCACGTAAATCTTGCATTGTTCGATTGAATGCTTCTAGCACATTTCGTGCATTGGAAACGACAGAATCCTCCAGACAGCTTCATTACTACTAATATAGCGCCCCAGTTGATACTGAGTAATTTCATCATTTCTATTATCACCAGCTACACCGAAAACAGCCATATCGCTCCCTTTATTTACATACTT